TGTTTATTTTGAACTTTAACCTTTGATAATTCTTGTTGTTGTTTGCCCAAAAAAAGAAGGGGAAAATTTTCCATAACGGAACCCGGCTTTAAAAAAAAAACAAAAATGAGGGGGTTTAGAGCGGCTTTTTGTGATTGTAAATCTGAAAGCCCCACCCTCCGGAGGCTTATAGTTTTTATGAAAATTGAATTTTAAGTTGCAAAAAATGTCAACTTCAACCTCTCTTTTTGCTTTGTAAACCAATTATACTACAATGTCGGTGCTGCCACACAACAAAAAATGCCAAAAAAAAAGCACTGAAAACGAGAAACAATAAAAAAGGGCATTGTAATTAATTTTTTTTTTTATTTAAATATCGATATATTGATAAAAAACAAGTGATTCAGTCTAAAAACGAAATAATAGTTAATAAAAATGTTAACTTAGTTATTTATCGAAGTATTGATTTTTATGGGAAAAGCGGTGCAGGCGAAAATTTTTAATACGTTCCCACGACAGTCGGGTCTACGTAACCGGAACGACCCAGATTTTTATTTGGCCAAGGACTGTCACTCCAGCAACACTGCCCAAAAACTCTTAGGGCCGGTTGTTCAATGTCTGATTAGCACAAATCGGAGGTAGAAGCTCCGGTTAAGCACAACTACTGCTTTATCGATCACATGTTACATGCATGATGTTGAAATCGTCGATAGTGTAGTGGTAGTGATAACCCGACATTGAACAACCGGCCCTTAGGGGAACTTGTATGCTGCTACAACAAAATTAGTGAATTTTTTTATGAAACTCAGTGGGGATACTAATGGTGGTCTCCTTTAACTATATTTATCACTTTCACAGTGTTGTTGCTAATAGTACTTAACCCTGCAAGAACAGTGACAATCATTTGACCGGTAAAATGACGGACAATCCTAACAGAAATACTCGTCATTATAACCATGAACTTTCGTTCATGTCATTATAACTGCATTTATCCCGCCATTTTACTTAATTTGCATTACATTTAGCATTTGTATTAGCACATTTTTAAGTAGATACATACATACATATGTATTTATTCTAGTAAGCTACTGCAAATCACTTACCCAATTTCATCCGCCTTGTAAATGTCCTTATACAAAAATCCTCTTGGAATTTATAACAGCTCTCGTACAATATCTTGACACACTATATGGAATTTGTAAAATTTCTATATAAATTATTATTAAGCCGTACTTTTCTCTATTTTACGTTTTTCCCAACGCTGCTTTTCCGCACGATATCTGTCATTCTTGCCTTTTCCATTATTTGTATATTCTTTATATCAACGAGTACCTTCATTCCTTATCCAACATTCGTTGGTGAATATCGTAACTGTAGAGTTACCAGACCAGTGGCCAGTAGATCTAACAACGTAAACCTTTACGTTCTCTGTACCAATAAACGTATGCGGCGAACACTGCGAATAACACCCAACCAACGTTAGCACCCCATTTGTGAAAATATTAAGATTTTTGTATTGCAATCGGTAGTTCGTCGATTGTTCTTTAATGTTCGTCCATCTTTAACGGTTGTTCGTTAGCTAAAAATTTATAATTAATTTTTCAATTTTCACTTTACGTTATTCCTGAAGTTAGCACACGCAACATATTATTTTGGGTTAATTACACTGGTCGACGGCCAAAATTTACCAGAGACGCCGTTATGAAATTCGTATGTAAAATCACCCCCTGATTCCGAAAATCAAGGTTATTTTTAATTTTATGGTACCGTTTTTGAGATATTTGCAATTTACCGTTTTTGCAAAAAAAGAAAAAATTGGGTCCACTTAATCATATATATCTCAAGAACGAATTAAGCAATTCCAAAACGGTTTGAAGCTTTTAAAAGGTAATAAAATTTTCATACAACACTTTTAGCTAGGCCCTGTAGATTCAAAGATAACGAACAATCATTACCGATTTTTTCAATTTTTTT